ACTAAATCGTATTATGAATAATCGTTTTTCCAATCAACGACCAGGTCTAGCACGCCATGATGACAGTAAGTTGAGTGCATGCATATTTTTTTTAATTCAAAACTTTTCAAAGGAAAATATTTGAAAATTGAAAAGAAAATCTAAACTATTTAGGGCATGACGTGCATGATGCCTTTATGAACGGACTCAAACTAGACAATATCATCGCTGAAGTAGTTCTAAAATAGTTATTTATTTCTTTTTTTCTCTCTTTTATAAACTAGGGAACACCTTTAGATGCTATTATTAATATTTGTCGTCGACCGCCCCCTATGAAAGAAATAGAAACTATCCAAAATAAAGATTGCATTTTTATGATTTCAGTGAGTATTATCTTTTCTATAAAAGAAATATCGGCCATTTTAAATAGCCATTCAAATACAACCCATCGTCTCGGGATTACGGACCGCAGCCAATTAATGGCAAAGCATATTGTGATAGAGGGGACATGGATTATGTTCGTATGCCATGTTCCTCACGTTATGTTATGGTAAATTAAAAACATTTTCATCTTTGTTTGACAATCTTTTGTTATCAAAAAAGAACAATGGAAAACCTGTGTGGTCAATTATTCAGCAATCATTGTTGCGTCTTCAACAAATGAGTGCTGCCCGTAGTGCCACTTATCATGACCTAGCAGTAAGTAGAAAGCAATTATTTTCTTCCTCGAATAAATTGTTTAACTCTAGGAAACTATTCGGATATGCGGCGGATATCATTATGAAATGAATAGTCTCGAAAAACTGATTAAAGAGGTAAGTTTTCTCTTCTTACAGTAGAAATTAATTCATGATTGTCTTAGATTTATTTGCCCAAAGATCGTGATAATTTCATGTGGAATGTCCTTTCCGCCATTTGTTCTCTTGCACTGAACGTCGATAAAATTTGTGGTCAAGTATGAATCTCGCTTCTATGTAATATTATCCGAATATTTTATCTTGTTTTAGCCACCACCTTTACTACGCACTGGATCGAACCGTTCTCTTACAATGTCGCAACAACAAGCCGCGTCATTGTTAGCTTGTGCATTTTTCTGTATGTTTCCATACCGTTCTGACCCGACACAGTTAAAAGAATATGAAAACTTTCCTAATCCGAATTTCAATAAGTAAATGTATGTCTTAAATCATTTCATATTTTAAACACCTTTTTAATACTAAAGGTTATATCAAAGTGGACCTCCAGAAAAAATTGAAAAACTCAAATGCATTTTCCATTACTTTTGTCGTGTTACAGAAAAGAGTACGTTTACAAAAAAATTGCAATATTCAATGTTTGTGTTAACATTGTTTCGGTTTAGTGCCCAACGGTGTGATTAGTTTCCGACGTTATAAATTACCGGCTGATTCCTATCCACAATGGCTAAATTCAAGACAAGTACTCTGTGATATGCACTTGACAACTGGAAAAAAGATAGAAGATATCGATTGTGTCTTACAAGTAAGCACAAGAATTCATTTTGTATGTGAATTTATTTTCATTCTTTCTAGGTTGACTTTGCCAATAAGTATATTGTGAGTGACTATATAATTATCTATTTTTATGAGATAAGTACTTTGTAAAAAAAAACTAGGGTGGAGGTGCTTTAGGCTCTGGTTGTGTACAAGAAGAAATTCGTTTTAGTATTTGTCCTGAAATGCTTGTTAGTTTACTTGTTTGTGAAATGATGGGAAAAGACGAATGTGTATTTCTTATTGGTTGTGAACGATATTCATCATACAAAGGTTATGCAAGCAGTTTTGAATTTGCTGGTGATTATAGAGATAACACACCTAAGTAAGAAATACTTTTTAAATTAAAACATATTTTCTCAATTTAATTAATAATACGACAAAAGTATGGCGAGATTAAGTTCTTTTTTCTTGACTGCTGAGTTCATTTCAGAATTCAATTTCATGAACCGAACGCAGAACTCTAAATCAATCAGATATAGTAGTTTTAAATTTCAAATGTTCTAGTCGAATCTTATGTTTTTAATTCTATCGTTCAAAATAAATGAATCACAGTTCATAAATATTTCTTTTCTTCAACATTGTATGTTTTTAGAGATAATTGGGGTCGAAGATGGTGTCACGTAGTGGCTATGGACGCTATTTATTTTCGTAATCCATCAGCACAATACGATAAGAAATGTATAGATCGTGAATTGATCAAAGCATACACATGTTTTCGTTCCATAGAAGCGGCAGCAACACACGATGCCTTGTTTGGTATCGCTACAGGAAACTGGGGTTGTGGGGCATTCAATGGCGATAAACAACTGAAAGG